TGGCTTGTACCTACAGGTGGGGCCGGCGGAGGGAAAGGGCGAGGAGAAGCCGGCCTTGAGCGTGCCTTTCTCTGGCGAATTCCTTCTGTGCCGGCTCCTCCGCCTCCCCTTGGCTGCCCTGGGATGAGCGGTAACGTTTCATCCGTGCGAGACAAACGGAGGGCTTGAGGTGCTATTGGTCTCAGCTGAACCAGAAGTTTCTGAGGGATCTTGTTTTATCTGGTCAGGTTCTCTCTGTGCTGCTCTTTATTTGCCCTCTAGCCTTACTGGTGTAGATCTTGGAGGAGGAGAAAGGTGGTGCCTGAGTGCGACCTTACCTGGAGAAGGGCAGGGAGGCAAAGCAGCCCAGTCATCCGGCCTGAACAGATGCTGGAAGCCTAACTTGGTCTTTCTGCTGGAGTCCTGTTGAATCAATTCTGATCCTAGAACAGGAGACTCAATCTTGACTACCCCTGAGTATCTTCATGGGAGAAAGGGAGCAGGGAGACTGTACCTGCACTAGGACAAGCCTTGCCTTTTTCAAAGTTTAAGTCTGCACTCTGGGTAGCTTTTTGCTTGTTGAACTGTCCAAATGTTTCTTCTGTAGACCTGAGATCCTTGCCCCTCTTGTGAGGGGGAGGGAAGTGCCGGTCTGTTCAAGGGCATCCTCAGAGCTTTGATTTTTCAGGAAAGCTGGTTTGGTTTTGGTTTGGTTTTTTTTTTTTTAATGCCTTAACCTCCCTCCCTCCCCTCCCAGGCTGAAGTTACTGAAGCTGAGAGAACGAACTAACAACTGGGAACCAGACTTGTGGTTCTTGCAAGTGATTTGTTTGAAGGCTGAAAATAACTTTATTGCAGAGAATTTAACAGCAACAGCTCAATCTTGCTTGGCAATAGCGTCTTTACAGCTTTTTTGCTCACAGTGGACTTGTTAAAATAGTTTTATCTACTGCTTTAATCACTTCTGTCCCCTGTACACTGAACTCAGATTTTTGCTTATTATCAGTTTACCATGGTAAAAGTTTTTGCATTTACTTCCTGTATTAAATATTTTATTTAAGGAATAGAAAAGCTTTCAGACTACTCCTGTAAATAAGTTTCCTATATTAGATTTTTTAGTATTAAATTATTTGTTGTACACTCTTTTGAAGTATACAAATTTGATTCTGTCTTGCATGCCTGGAGAAAAGTGAAGCTGACCTATTTTCCCTGTTGTTATGTATATGCTGCAGAGGAATGTCTAGTTTAAAGATTTAGCTGGAATGCTTTATAAACACTCTTAACTGAAAGCTTAATTTGACCAGACAATACCCTCTCTCAGTCACCCTTTAAAACTCTCAGACTTGTCTCTAATTGTCAGTGCAGCGGTACTGGATATCTGGATAGAAGAGTAGTTGAGACACTTTGATCAAATCAAGGCAGTAATGATGGGACACTGCCTAGACCACTTAGATGTGTATGCTGAAATCCTGAATGATATATAGATTCTGCAATCTACTGCCTCTTTCAGGCTTTAAATTTTCTCAGCTGCAACTTAACTGATTAAGCACCAACTGTTATTTGACCAAATGCTGGATAAAATAGCTTGCTTCATAAGCAACAGAACTGTCCTGTGAACATAGCAGAAGTGGCCGAGTGGTGAAGTACAAGCCCTAACATCATTATTTGGGAATCTGGTTCGTAGTATGTTCTCATCCTGTTGCTTTGTAAACTGTTTGCTTTGGATACTTGCACTTTAAGTTTAACTTGATAATTTTTTGATAAAGCTAGGTTCAAACTCCACGTGACTGACTACTGATTAAGTGAATTGCTTCCTATTACACAATGAATTAATCTGAATTAATGGTCTGTCTTAGCAGAGGTACTGAAGGAGCCTGTTTCTCATGGCAGCTGTGCAGGCTGTAAGCACTCATGGGAATGCAAGTGCATAGTGGTATCAAGACAAACAAACAGTGCCTAGGGTCAGTAGGTATCTTGTGCCTGGAGCAAACAACTCGGGATGGGAGTAGTGGTCTCTGGGAGTTTGAGTGAAAGACAGTGGCTGGGGAGGCCACAGAAGTAGATAAATATGGGTCTTGTGTGCTTGCTGCTTTTCATACCCCATGTGCCTGAATTCAAGTAACTTTTTCCACAATTCACTTACAAAAGGTGTTGATTCTAATTATCAGCCAGGTTAGATAGTAACTGTATTGTCAAGCTCTTTCTGTCTTGACTTGGAAGTACTATCCCGCTGATAAAAACCTTTAGTTCTTCAGGTTTTCTCTCTTCATCAACTCCCTGCTCCAATGTCTCTGGTAACTATTTCATACCACCGTGAAGCAGTGGTGATAAGGTTCCATTGCTTGTTACCTGCTATTGCATGGAGTGGCAAGGTCAGTAAACAATCTTGGCTGTTTTGCTTTCCTAGTGGCAATAATCAATTTTGTCGCTTTTGTTCTATGATGCAGTTGATACCTGGCTCTTGTTAAGAAGCTATGGAGCAGCTATTTAAAAAGTACTTCTTAATAGCTGCCAAAGAGCAATCACTTTGTTGATAGCTCCTTTTAGCCTGTTAAACAGGACTAAGCAACTTTCATCCATGCCTGTCTGTCCCAGAAATATCAAGTTGTCTTGTCATTTAAGCAAGATAAGTCTATATAACTCATACTTTGTCTCTTCATGTTCTTCCAAATACTGCTTTAATAGTAATAGAGGATCTGTTTTGTCTCTTGTGCTTGAGATGTGCAAATGTATTTTTTGAGACCTGTCAAGAAGTCATGTAATGTGAGAATGTTATTTAGGCTGCTGTGGAAGCTACTTGAATCTTTACAGTAACAAAGTGCTTGCTTAGAGCAGTCACTTTCAACTGTTTTACATGGGATCTTGAGCCCATAGCCTTCCTAATGCTCGCTGAAGTGGTTGAGAAAGGAGCAAATAATGGTTGATTACAGGAATATGAGTCTTAATGGAAATGCAGTCCTGACTAGGAATCTTTGCAGGATCACAAGTCAAAGACTGAAAAATCAGTCCTGGGATTATAAGCATTTGTTAAAGCCTTAATCCTGTCAACTGTTACTTTGTGAATTAGTGTTGCTGTCAGTTGATGTGATTAGTATGAAATATTTCAGGCCACCAAAAGTGCAATGAAACTGGAGTTTTAATACATTCTTCTTAAACTTGGAATGTGGCAGAACTAATCTGAAGTCAAAGTGTAGAACTGGAAAGCTGAAAACATGCTGAGTTAAGCAGGCTATATGCTTTCTTTGCTTTCTAGCTCTTTCTGTATGTATCATAACCTGTAGTGAAAAAGATCATTTGTCAGAGGAGTACCAGAGACCTAGACTTAGCCCCAACTTTGAGCATGGTTTTGTTCATGTAGATGGCCATGTTAAGAATGTTTCCAATTTAGACTAATATTTTTGACAGTTTTTGTTTTGCAAGCTAGTGGCTTAAATCACGTTTAAAAAAAAATACCACTGTGCAGATAGATTATTATAGAGTTCTGCATTACAGGATTATACTCAAAACATGACAAAGTGTTACTTTGTGAATTAGTGTTGCTGTCAGTTGATGTGATTAGTATGAAATATTTCAGGCCACCAAAAGTGCAATGAAACTGGAGTTTTAATACATTCTTCTTAAACTTGGAATGTGGCAGAACTAATCTGAAGTCAAAGTGTAGAACTGGAAAGCTGAAAACATGCTGAGTTAAGCAGGCTATATGCTTTCTTTGCTTTCTAGCTCTTTCTGTATGTATCATAACCTGTAGTGAAAAAGATCATTTGTCAGAGGAGTACCAGAGACCTAGACTTAGCCCCAACTTTGAGCATGGTTTTGTTCATGTAGATGGCCATGTTAAGAATGTTTCCAATTTAGACTAATATTTTTGACAGTTTTTGTTTTGCAAGCTAGTGGCTTAAATCACGTTTAAAAAAAATACCACTGTGCAGATAGATTATTATAGAGTTCTGCATTACAGGATTATACTCAAAACATGACAAAGCACTTCAAAGGTTTCATTGTAGGAGCTACCGGAACTCTGTACTCCATGTTGCAGGACACTAACTGAAGTAGCTTTTTTTTTTTTTTTTTTTTTTTTTAAAGGAGTTGGTCTGTAAAGTTAGTGCTACCCTGCTCAGCAAGGCACTGTCTTGGGCACAACTCTAAAGCAGACATTTAGTGAGCGAAACATTTTTAGATCAAGCTGTGTGCCAGTTGCCTTAGTTTTCCAGAAAAAGGGTGGGTTTGCTAACTGGGGAAGCTGCTCCCTGATTAGAGTGAACTAAATCTAAAGCATGTAGTGATCTTTGATACAGCCTTTCCACTAAACTGCTGCTGCGGTAAGAAACTCCTCCCCATGATGGTACTCTTCTGCTATTTAGTGTTCTTGGCTTACTGTGAGATCCCATTTTGGGTAGGTAAGGAATTCTCGTTAGTGTAGTCACCAAGAAGTCTCAGTGACTGACTTTTATGGCAGCCTTCTGCTTTTATCTACTGTATCGTAAAATAGACTAGCCAAGCAATTTAGAAAATGGTCTTTCAAAAGACAGGAATGTGTGCTTGCAACTGGTGCTATTTCTCATACTAATTTCTCATTTTCAAAACACATTTTAGGAAGCAATTTAATTTTTTTAACAATTCTGTAAGTTCACTGAGAATCTACTTTTGTCTTATAAGGCAAACTAAAATCAAAGTAGTCTTTATGGGCTGAATGAAAGGAAACTAATTCAAAAATTTTTAGACTAAGTAGGCTGACTGATACTGTACATCTTTTATCTTCATTTAGTTTAAAAAGGGGATCAAGCAGTGATCTTGTCTAACTCCCTTTAAGTATTTGCAACTGGCTTCTAGTAGTAGCAATCATCTGATGAGCATGCCTCCTATTATACTCTTGTAAATAAATTAGTTAAGGTTTCTAATTGTTAGTCATGTAGGACTTGCTGTAAATTTTTTTTTTTTAGCTCTGCTGTACTGTTTGTGTAAGTTGTCAAAGAGGCCTTCCACTTCCAAAGACTCCCCATAAATAAGATTTGTGGCAACTCTATTGCTGGGGCACAGACTTGAATCGTAGAGTTGCTGTGGCTGGAAGGTGCTTCTGGAGACTGTCTTGTCCAGCCCTCCTGCTGACTGCACTAATCCTGACCCATAAACTGGCTCATCTATACCTAGAGCAGAACTTCATGCGTTCCTGCTTTTCTCATGGGAAGGGCAACTCTCCTGCCTTGCCTTCCTGGTCTGTCTGCCCTAAAGAGCTTGTAGGCATCCACTGCAGTATTCTAACTGTGAGAGCTATCCCAGCTCATCTCTGTGACCCCAGTGATGTTATGGTCCCTGCAGCTACACACAGGCTCCCAACGTCTCCTGTTTGTTCCCCCTGCCATGTGTGTTAGTGTACAGAAGCACCCTGTTGCACTGATTTCCCAGGAGAGGTATGAGAGTTATGAGATGAATTGGCTGTGTATCAGAATAGTAGGGGTTTTGTATTCTGATAATGTGCTTTGTAGAGAGAAGAAATGTCTCAGAAGAGCACACAAGGATAAATATATAGTTTGTGGTCTGTATTTTTCATGTGACCTGTCACTTGCTAGGTCATGAAGGGAAGTGTCATGAACTAACTGGGTCCTAATTTCTCTGTGTTGAAGTCAAGTGGTTCTGAGTGTACAGTCTGCCACCCAAACCTAGTGTTATCAGCAAGCGTGTTGTATCGTGCGACTCTTCTTTCCACAGCACTCTAGAGGCTGTGTGGTTGGAGAGCATGAGTTTGGCTGTAAACGCTTTTATAGTGGTAGGCAGAGAATTCTCCATGAGGGAGACTACTTCTCCTATAAGGGAAACTCTCCACAGCTTTTTAATTTTATTAACCTTACACTTAGACTAGGGATACGGAAATTGCATGTGACTCCTGTACTGGTATAATAATCTAGTTTCTATTTAAAGACAGAAATACTGCTTTTGGCTTTAATATAAATTATGTGAATGCAGTAGACTGGAAAACTACATGCCTTTTTGTTATTTAAAACATCTGTTCTTAGTCCAATAGAAAGGTAGCTCTTGTATGTGCTGAATACCCTGGTGTGGTATTCACTTTTCTTTGTTGGGGAAACCAGAGTGAAGAAATCTGTTTAAAGGTGATTTAAGTGGCAGCTGAATTATGGGTAACTAGTAATTATCTGAAGTGCAAAATGTCACTGTTGTTGCTTTGTGTGATGCAAATGCATTGATTGAAAGATGGGGAAATGGTTCAGTGCTTGGCACTTGTGTGGTGTGCCTGACTGAGGGAGCTCAGTGACTCATAGTATACATCTGTGAACCCTTCAGTTAAGTTCTTAAAATAGTGGAAGTACTTTCAGAAGTTACAGGGAGATGATTCCCCAGTGCCCCTGGGGAGGTGGGACTCCATGGCTAAGAGTAAGCTCAGAGCAGGGGTTTATTACTCGCCTACCTCCATCAAATGTGAGGACAACAGTGGCTTACGTTTCCCCAAATGGAGATGTGAATGTGAGATACTAACTTCAGTTTAGGAGCAAAGAGTATAACCGTATGGGCAGAGACAGTTGCTTCTGCTGCTAGAACCTAAGCCAAGCTAGTTGGTGTTTAGGCTTCTAATTTATTCCAGGCATCCAGTTCACTGGCGAAACTGAAGATGGCATGATCTAGTGAGATCCATCTTCCTGGGGAGCAGTGGTAGCAGCTTGTG